AGACCTCCCAGAGAGCCTTCACTGCGACCGCTCCCAGACTGTGGAATGGCCTGGTGGACAAGATCCATCTTATTACCACTCTTGCTGCCTTTAAAAAGATGGATTTCTTCCTGCAGGCCTTCCCGGAATAATTGCCCAGCTAACTGAAGGTGATCTGCTACTATCCCTCTTGCTGCCACGACATGTTATCCTAGAAATTGATTTTATTGTATTTTATTTGTGTTAATCTGATTTTACTTCCATTGCAGTTTAATTCAGTTTTAAGGGTGTGGGATGAAGGAATGTTTTAATTGCTGTCTTTTTAACCTTGCTGTACACCACCCCGATTGCTGAGCAGAGAGGTGGGTTGCAAATAAAATATTATTGTTGTTGTTGTTGTTGTTGTTGTTGCAATATTTGTTTGAGTAAAAGAAGAGAGGTGGGGGGGGCACATATTTTTAAGGAAAGCAAGGTGTCCCATAGGATTTAAGATAAGAATAGCAAAATTATTACCTGGAAAGTAGAAAGGAATCTACATTCTGCACACATTAGAACTGCAGGTGGATTTTAACCCAGCAATGTAAGAGTTACTAATTTGTGATGACCTGAGCTTTTTGCTTTCTCTTCTTTCTAGTTGCTCCCTCCCCCCCTCCGCTGACATAAAGCATGCCGCTGTTTATTAATTAAAATTGTATTTTCTTAAAATTAATTGTCACTCGAAGCTCTTTGCCAATACATACTCCTTCACTGGATTACTCACTAGAAGACAACATAAGCAGGAGTTTATACAGCCCCGGGGAATTCAATATTTGGTTTGCATTAACTTTTCATTGAACATCTTAATGCACGGCAGTGCCTGGGCAGTTCCATATTAGGAATCCAATCATGACCAGGTCCAAAATAAAATAAAAATAAAAAGGATATTTTAATATTCTAGTCATTTCAGCAAGGTGTAAATTGCTTGGTGGCATGGAATGTTGTCCCCCAAGGCAACCCATCAGCGATCAGGAAGGGATGTTGGAGATCATTCAGCACAGCAGATGCTGTTGAAG